ATTCCCAAGTAGAAATGGGGCCTTAGCTACAATGTATCAATGTTTGTTTACATTTTAACAAACACTGCACAGAAACACACGTTTCTTACAATCATTACAGAAAATGTTGCTAACAACAGCTATGCTAGGCATGTCAGGACTTTGGTGAATGGAGAGATTGTCTAGGGAGCTTGCAGGTTATAAGCACATACCATTGTAGACAAGATAACAATGACATACCAAGAGCTTTCACTGTCAAGAACTCATCAGCAATGGCCGCTCCCATATTTTCACCACTACAGAGAACTATGTTATGGAAAGGTCATGTTTTCCACAGCAGATTTATAATTTATTAGCCTCTTCTCGACCAATCAGCAAGCCAGGTGGCGAGTCATTACACGGTGCCGGGTTCCTAATTTGCCGTAAGCTAGCTCCACGCTCCCTCGTCACCAAGTGACGAGGGAGCATGAAGCCACCTTTCAGGCAAATCAGGAAGCTGGGAGCAAGTAATGACTCGGCGTCCGGGTTCCTGAGTGGCCGGCTTCCCGACCAATCAGGAAGCTAAGTGGCAAGTCATTACACGCTGCCCAGCTACCTGATTGGCCGGGAAGCCGGCTCCATGCTCCCTCGTCACAAAGCTGAGCATGGAGCCGGCTTCCCGGCCAACCAGGAAGCCGGGCAAAGTTTAATGACTCGCTGCCCGGCTTCCTGATACCGGAAGTTTGGGTATTGGGCAAGGCATCTAAACATTTGGACGAGTAGGAGTACTCACCCAAATACTCGGTATCTGCACCAATACCGATACTAGTATCGGTGCATCCCTAGTTTAAACCCTTTAATTACTAATATCTTTTTATGGGAATGGATTTAAAAAGTAGAATGTGCACATCTGGTTTCCATTCTCACATTTTGTTTTCAAGTAATGTTCTCTGCCAGTCTCTTCGCTAGGAAAGAAAGAAAGCTGTAGGCTTCATCTATATTCCTTAAAAAAAAAAAAGGAAGAAGGTAAAGTAGTGACAAAGCCCCTTGAAGAGAAAGGATGAACAAAGGGGCAAAAAGTGGTATGTGCTCTGGTATTTCCAGGCATGGAGGCGCATATAGCAGCACTGGTGATTAGTCCAGTGCTTTTACATGGGGCAGGGAGACAGTGTTCAGTACTGCTTAAAGTGACACTAAACTGAGAAGTTACCGTATTTTGCGCAAGACGCACCGGACCATAGGACGCAGGGAGGTCCGGTGCACCTTATGGAGCACTCGAAAGACCGTAGCTTCTGTCACAGAAGCTGCAGTTAGTGACCGCTGAGACAGGTGGCGCTGTGATTACAGCGCCACGGTCTCAGTGATCACACAAAGCAGACGAAGAACGTCCGTTCTTCGTCTGCTCTATGGTGATCTCGATCGTCGCTGCTCGGTTTTAATACGAGTGATCTCATTAGATCACTCGTATTAACCCTTTCGCTGCCAAGCCCTCCAGAACATTTTTAAAATTAGCTGGCCAAGCCATTTTTGCATTTTTTGCATTTTTTTCCTATAGATTTGATTTTCAACTGCCGGGTTGCTAGCGTTTGTAAAAGACCCTCCAAACCATATATTTTCTGAAAGCGCAGGCCCGGTAGAATAAAAAGATGGTGGTACTAAATTTGTAGGCCCTGCGATAATTGCGCAAATGTTACTCAAATTAATATTAAACCGATAAAAATACACAATTCAATTATTAAAACACACCAAAATCAGTATCCGTGCACAACAAAAACATAATTTTCTGACTAAATCTAAAAAGATAAAACTGTATTGAGTTAATAAATAACAAATATTAGCAAATTTGTAATTGCGCCTTTTTGTGAAAATGTAAAAAAATGAAGGTATGCAAAACTGTAAATCGACTTATGTAAAAAATTGTTTTGGTGTTTGTGTTGTGATAAAATGATACAGGTGTATATTTATGCTTCCCCCGACCCTCCCGCCGGTGATTTATTTTACGGATCCCCGCTGCCACAGACCCTACAAGCAGCGGGGATCCATGGAGTCTCTCATCCCTCCCTGAGGTGTCTCCAGGGAGGGATGAGAGACTCCAGATGCCGGTGGCCAGCAGCGGTGGTGCCGGCGGGGGAGGGGGGCGCCCGGTATTTTTGATAATAGCACTCATCAGCGGCTTGTGAGCCGCTGATGACAGCTATTAATTTAAAGGGGACAGTCTGCTGATCAGTTCTACTATAAGCTGATGGTCGCTAAAGCGACCATCAGCTTATAGTAGAACTGTAAATGCCAAGGACGTACGGCATACTGAGCTGGCCAGCTGGAAGCACTTTTGTAGCTCCGTATGCCGTACGTCCTTGGCAGCGAAAGGGTTAAACGAGCAGTGGCTCCTACTGTACATTAAGCTCTGCTCTAGCAGAGCTTAATGTACAAAGCACTACTCGCCCGACGCCCGAAACTGCATGTCTCGGGCGTAGGGATTCGCTCCATAAGACGCAGGCACATTTCCCCCCTCCTTTTGGGGGGAAAAAAGTGCATCTTATGGAGCGCAAAATACGGTAAATCTTAATAATACATTCAAGTACCTTAACTATTAACAATAATGGGGGGAATTTATCAAAACTGGAGCAGACAAAATGTGGAGCAGTTGCCCATGGTAACCAATCAGCTTCTCTCTTCAGTATGTTCAGTGAAGATTTGAAAATGAAAGAGAGAAGCTGATTGGTTGGCAACTGCTCCACATTTTGTCTGCTCCAGTTTTGATAAATTCCCCTCAATGTATCTTATTTGTGTATCACTCGGCTGTAGATCCTCAAATCATCTCTGAATTGGTGCCGACACTGTCCTTTCTGGAGGGTGGATACTTTTGTTCCCCATGGTCCCTGTGTGTGTTGTATAGCCGTCAGCACTCCAAGCTCACTGCTGTGTTCGACTACACTCTCAATACAAATTAGTAAACTAAATGTGAGATTGTAGATAAGCTTTAGCTACAGCACCGCTGAGCTTACACTGATCTTTCTTTCTTTGCCCCGGCAGGTAAAATGAGCAGAAGAGGAGTGAAAGAAAGAGTATGTGCTGATGGGGAAGGGCACATTAAAGCAAACCTTTGGCTTTACCCTCCATGAAGCAAACACACTATTTCCCAGCCTGCTGCCCACACCCTCCTCCCACAAACTAATGGCTTGGCATCGAAAGACAAAGCCTATCAAAAAGTCCCTTTCGCTCACCCAAACCTGTGATCATGTGACTTTCTGGTCCAGAGTCTTTTCTCTCTTTTTCTGTATACAGCAGATTGGGTCTTTGGGTGCTCTCACCACTGCCTGTGTGATGTGGACACTTGGTATTACCAGTCCAGCAGCTGGATCCTCTCAGTACACAGAAGAGGAGTCTGCAGCGATGCAGTCAGCAATAGGGACAGGCAGGGACATCCCGCCACATCTGTATTACTGGATTATCAGTGCCCCCACACCCGGTAATGATGCTGGCAAAGAACACGGACAGCAGACTCAGGCGACAAAAACAGGGCTTCATTTGGCCTCATTCACACGAGAAACGGCCGGCAAGTACAGGTCCGTGCTACGTGCACGGCCGTATCAGTAAGCTCCCGGGAAGGACAGGTGCTGCGTGTGATTAGTACGCAGCCCCCGTCCTTCTCTATGGGACTACGCGACCGTACGCCGCCCTGCGCTCACCCACCCTGCACGTCCGTATGGGTGTCCGTACTCGTACGCTGACAGGATGGATCCTGTCTGTGTCCGAGCGGGGACACCCGCACCCATACGAACTTGCACTTGGGTCAGCGTAGGGCGGCGCCGGGCGTACGGTCGCGTAGTCCCATAGAGAAAGGCAGGGGCTGCGTACTAATCACACGCAGCACCTGCCCTTCCCGGGAGCTGCCCAATACAGCCGTACATGCAGCACAGAGCTGTATGTGCCGGCCGTTTCTCGTGTGAATGAGCCCTTAAGGGATCTTTAAAAATACATCAGTGAGGAGGGGGCGGGGGGGTAAGTTTTGTCCGGAGATGAACTTTAACGGAAATCTAGAGCAATTAAAGAGAAACAAAACCCACTGATCTAACCAAGACAGTTACATTCAAGGCATGATTAGGGATGTCACAGACCAAATATGGCTACATGACCATATAGGGTCAATGATGTCACCAGCATCCCACCCCTTTATGTGCAGCTGTGGGGTGGGGAATGCCCCGGCCGCAGCTGATCGTGCACTGACACATAACTGCTGGGTTCAGACCAAACCTGAGCTCTCAGAGTTTCCAGTGTGATTATGGGTGCACTCAACCAAACTTTTAAATGGTCGGCATCATAACTGATCACATATGCAGCAACATGGCAACCACAAATCTAAACAGGCACTAAGTTGACACCTTCCTTGTAAAGGATAGGAAGGTTTAGTTCTACTTTAAGTAGACAATATACGTCAACTGTTTCACCTACCGGATGACCTGCCATTCAGTTCGGCAGGTTGCACAGCTTATCTACTGGTTCAGATTTGCAGATTCCCGTGTTACATCTCAATCTCCAGCGCAGAAGACGATGACACACTTGTGCTTCACTATCCAAGCAGGCAGGTAACAGAGGAAGATGAAAAGCAGCAGTGTGACAATCACAATGCTGGCTAAACAGCATCACAGCTACATAGGCCCATCTTATAAACAAACTGCAGGAGAAAGACAATACATTTATCACATTGTAGATACATTAACCCTGTGCATGATGCATTCTCTGGCAGGCTTTCAGGGTCATTTCTGTGCTGCTTAACACACACACACAACAAAACTAGAAATAGCCTTTTTTATTGAAGGCAAAAGAAAAAAAGCCTAAAACTGAATATGAAAGTTAAATGCATGAAAAATGCAGCTCATCATACATTAAAGCACACTGACAGGTACTATAACACACATCCATGCACATGTAAAAACTGGACTGAAAGTGCATTCAGTGTGAGCAGGCCCTATAACATACACAGGAAAGCCAAATCTATTCCTACACGTAATACAGCGCATATGTGACATACACATCCTCACCAGAGTCCCAGAGGGTGTTGGTTTGCCCTTACTGACAACCTGTCATCCTGCTCTCATGGAGTACAATGCAGTTTCTATACTGCTGTGAAAACAGAGCAAACACAGCGCTCACTTCCTCATCATCGCCCCTCCCCGTACTCCAGAAACGCGCATGCTCCGTGCCGGAGATCATGCAGACGGCCTCTTCTTGTTGATGTGTTGTCATGGCGATAGAAGGGGAGGGACTGGGCGGGAGAACAGACTGACCGGAAGCGAAGGAACGCTTGATTGACAGCATAGACAGGAAGCTGTGCGCGCAGTTCGATTTTGGGATGTTCACGGGGATAAAACGAGCGTCGAGAGGAATTATAGGGACACGGAAAAGATGTGAGGTTACGGGTTACTTGGCAGTATAGAGTGAGGGGCTGGGTTACGGATGGCAAGGCACGGGGAAACATGGATACATAGAATGAGGCACAGGGTTACGGATGGAGCCATAGGATGTTGGGGTATAAAAGACAATGAAGAGGAGATATGGGCATTGGGTGGCTGGAGGAGGTAGGGGAAAACACGGTAGTATAGAAGGAGGCATGAGGCACTGAGTTACACCTGAAGGCAAGGGAAACATGGGGGCTTAAAGCAGAACTCCGGGGAAGAAAATTCTTAACCCTTTAAGTGGGGCTACCCCCTGCACTGCAAGGGTTAAGTGCCCTTTTTTGTCTAGGGTCAAAAATAAAATTATAGTCACCTGAACCTTGGAGCCGGCTGACTGTAAAGTAGCCACCGATCCGAGCTCGCTCCTGTGTTGGACTACAATCTCACATTTATTTTACTAATTTGTATGAGATTGTAGTCTATCACAGGAGTGAGCTTGGAGCGGTGACTGCTTTACAACACACACAGGGACTATGGGGAACAAAAGTAGCCACCCTCCAGAAGGAAGGACAGTTTTGGCACCAATTCAGAGATGATTTGAGGATCTACAGCTGAGTGATACACAAATAAGATACATTATTGTTAATAGGGAACATGAATGTATTTTTAAGATTTAACTCCTGAGTTTAGTGTCACTTTAACCGCTTCAGGACGGGTGACCATATATAAACATCTGGCTCCTAAAGCAGTTATACCAAGAACACAGCCGCTGCGGCCATGTTCCTGGTATCATAAACAGCTAGCGATGGCCGATCAGATACAAGCGATCCAGCAGCTGTACAGCCACCCGAGTGCTTGAACTGTGCGGCAGAATGTGCCCATATGCACGTGAGTTCCGGCTACCCGGGGCTCCGCTGTCACATGTACAGGCCAGGGACCCGCATGGTGGTATCTCCCTTCATCGATTGGAGGGAGATCAGCAAGCTTCTAGCTTGTTACTGCAATAATCAATTTCAAAATGACCTTGTTTGTTTCTTAAAATGGTACATTGTACATTTTCTCAGTTTAAACATTTGATGTGTTCTATTTTGTATTGTGAATAAAATTTGGGTTTATGAGATTTGCAAATTGTATTTTGTTTTTATGTAGATTTTACACAACGTGCCAACTGTTCTGGAATTGGGGTTGTACATTTCACCAATGTAAAAGTAAATGTTTTATTGACTTATGTCTGAGAACCAGCATTGCTTGTTTTTGACACTAAGGCCTAGTCCACACCAGCCGCAGTGTGTACTGGCTCAACTGGGGCCAAACCTTGTCGATGGGGACAAGGGCCTCTTCCCCACAAGTCCTGGGGCGTTGGTTGTGGGGGTCTGCGGGCAGGGGGGCTTATTTTCATCGGCGTATCCCTTTAACAAAGGGATTCTGCCCCCCCCTTGTGAATTAGTAAGGGGTACCTGTACCCCTACTCATTCACGAAAGGGTTAAATAAAAACGTAAAGAAAAACACCACACTTTTGAAAAAGTCCTTTAGTTGAAAAAACTAACCATAAGAAAGGTTTTTGATAATTCCTCTAAAAAAAAAAAAAAATCGCTAAGTAATCAACGTCAATCACGGCGTCCAGTGTTGTCAACGATGATGCCGACTCGCCGGAATTTAAAAAAAGGCCGTCCGCACCCGCCGAACACACACCGCAAAATGACCTATATGACAGGTGCCTGCAAAAAGTAAACAAATGGGTGGAGCTAGCGGTGATATCATCGCTGGCTCTGCCTATTTGTTTTAATTTGGCCAGCACCTGTCATATGGGTTGGCCAAATCACAACAACTGGGCGAAGCCAGCCGTGATGTCACGGCTAGCTCTGCCCACTTGTCATTCAATGACAGCCCATCGTCCTCAGGTCATTTGAGGACACTGGGCTGCCACTGAATGACAACAACTGGGCAGAGCCAGCCGTGACATCATGGCTGGCTGCGCCCTGTTGTTTACATTTGCGGGGAGAACGGTCTGCTTTGGCAGACCGTTCTCCCTGCTTTGGCTGTGACTTCGGCTCAGCCGAGCCAACGCATATGCGTTCAGCTCAGCTGAGCCGTTCGGCTGCTGTATGGGCTATTGTGAATAGCCCGTACAGCAGCACTTTGGTTCTACTAAACTGAAAGAGCTCCGGCTGCCAAAGTGAGTCAAAGGATTAGCTGATGCTTTGGCTTAATCCTTCGGCTCCTTTGTGAGTAACCTTAGTTTAGCCCATAACCTGACTTCATTTCTATTTGAAGGATGCCTGCTATTCAGCTACGTGTTTCGTTTTCATCATGCGATGCACAAGTGACAGGTTTGCTTTGAGGTCTAACCATAAACTCCTAATACTAACCTTTCAATAATTCCAAGACTCCTAAAATTATTACCAAGTTTTAAAATGTTATTAATGATGTAGAAAACACTGCAGAAAAAAAAATATTGACCAAGCAGGGATCAAACCTACATCCTCACTATTAATCCTATATTGTTAGAGCTAACCAATCTACAAAGAAGGAAGGAATAATGATAGACTGGAGTGGTTTGAGGGAGCAGATGAATTTATCTGCTAGATGGGGAAAGCTGACATCACATGACTGGCAAACTTAGGCAAACCAGTATGCTTCGGGAGATTTTCTTCCTCGCTCTATGAAAGATCAAGCAGCTAAACACACAGTTGAAATATCTGGACCCGTCAAAGGATTTGTAATCCTGCCAAGCACAGCACAAATGGTTCCTCCAACCTCCACTGCAGAGACAAGAACACATTCCAACCTGTTGATTGGACAACTGAGGAGCAGCGGCACAGTAGTGAGTCATTGCTGTATTCACTATGTTCACCCCTACCGTCTGCATTTTCACTGAGCACATGTGCACTGCAATAGAACCTGAAGGGCTTCTAGTGCCGTTCCCCCATGCTAATCAGAGTGATGCTGTGCAGGGGAGCCCACAGCGGCAGACCACTACCCCCATATTGCCGAACGGCACCCCAGGACAGACAGCTGTTTTTTTCGTTCCACTTCAAGTATCCTGATGCCACAGTATATGGTCCTCAGGTACTGAATGATCTTGTATAGAGCCATGGATGATAACCACACTATTGTTACTGCACTTTGTTTATGAATCTGCTTTTATAGTATTTACTCTGATTTGAATTATGGCGGGAGTATGACATCATTATAACGTCACGAGGCCACAGCAGGCTCTGTGATTGGTTTGCTCACATGTTATGCTGTGTATATACTGTATATCTGTGTTTTTTCACTTGCAATTTTACTTGTTCTGCCTAATGAAGGGGATCCTACGTGACCCCGAAGCGTCGCATTAAGTATGTTTTGCACGTACATCAATAAATAGACGTATTCTATCTACCATTGGAGTGCCGGTGTCCATATTCGTTTGTATCACTGAGATGGTGGCCATCCCTCGACTACCGTTGCCCCCTTCTTATATTAAAGGAGAACTATGGGGTTAAGGCTTTTCCCCATAGTTCTCCTTAGGGTAACGGGAGGACACAAACTAGCGTCCTCCCGTCACCCTGGGCTCAGTATACCGCGAGCTGTAGCTTGCGGTAAACTGAGACACCGCAGTATACCGCGAGCTGCTGCTCGCGGTATACTGAGACGCCGCAGCTGAAGTGGATCCCGACAATTGTGCCGGGATCCGCCCAGCTGCGTGACTGACAGCTGACTTTGCCTATCTAGAGGCAGAGCCAGCTGTACCCGCCCCCTCCCCCGTCCGTTCCGCCAGTCAACGCTGGCGGAGCGGTGAGGGGGGAATCCAGCCCCTCCCCTGTCACGGCAGAGACCCGTGACAGGATTGAGAGGTGAGCGAACGCCGGTATGTGTTCGCTCACCTCCCGATCTACTGAGCCGACCTGTGACAGTCTCATTGTCACAGGTCAGCTAGAACTATGAGGTGAGTGAAAAGCACTCACCTCATAGTTCTCCTTTAATGGATGAGCGGTCAGGAGTGCAATGGGTACATGGACTGTAACTGATGCTGTGCAGGGGTCACATAAAGCTGAAACTAAGACAATTTCGGGTAGTTAACCACTTAATAAACACATAACTGCTTTCATTGTTTTTGTAACTATATGCAAATTAAATTGTAGAGTGGATGGGGTATTTAAACTTCTTTGAAAATGGAATTAGATATTTTGTATAACTTCTACACTACTAAATTCTACACAGTATAAGGTGTACAATGAGTAAAAATATCTCAGGCAAGGTTTAAAGGAACAGTCTGAATTATCACATTCAAATATCGATTGCCATTTTCTGCTGTAGGTTTGAAAATGACTTGCTGCTGTGGGGTGGTACAGATAGTACTACTTATAAATAAGGCAGTGCACTTCTGCAAAAAGAACAAAAGTTCTTTCTACCATCCTACTTTGTTTTGTATTTCTTCAGATCTCAGCTCATTTTTTCCCCCAAGAAAGGAGCAAAGACGTCAATCTACAGGTATCATTAAAGTGTATGTGACATTTAGAGCTAGATTTAATGCTATAGACATGGGGAGCGAAAACAAAGTCCTTTGCTTGGCTCTTTCAGAAATGAATGATTCGGTTCATTTTAATATTACATGTGTAGTGTTGCAATCTATATATGTATGTGAAGAACATGAAATGCATATTTATGGTTACTTTCACTAGAGAAAAAAAAAAACCTGCTGGGTGGAATGTAGAAGTTAAAGACGGACATCTTTCTAGTGCAAATCAGACTGCCTCTGATTTATCAAAAAGATTT